TAATCTAGATAGAGAAGATGCCTCATTCTGCTGATTGCTCCAAATTCATTGCTTTCAGAAGGCCAATATTTTTAACATCAGGTATAAGTCCTTAATATTACATCTTTTTCCTACTCTGCAATTGGTGAGCTCCTTGTATGAGTGTGTGCTCCTGTGTGTGTGCTTTCTCTCCAGGAATGTTCAAAGACTAATTTCACCCTCCACCACCAGGGCAAGTCCTCTGTAGGATAGGATTCTCTTCTTTCCCCTGCTTGGGCCCACGCAGCTGTCCTGCTATCACTACCACCCTACTACCCATCACCTCTGAGCCTGGAATGGGTTTCCAGGTCCCTACTATCTATACAGGAAGGAATGAAGATGCTGAGCTGAAGACTTTTGGGGATGGAGAAAAAAGCTACTCATTCATTCCTATAGCAGTGAGGACAAACTATGAATAAATAGTCTGTTGTGATTATCATATTGAAAGTTGGTTCCAAAATCTTGTCATTAGCAGTGTGAAACAATATTGTTTGGTCCTCAAAATTCCTCTTGTTGATTACTGTCTTTGAAAGAGTGAAGGATGTCACACTGTATTGACCACAGTCCTTTCCCCTGTGTTCCAGTCCATGCAGTGGTTTGGTAATGTTGCTCTTGTTTTAATCCACCTAGAACTAAATACAGAATTATGATAATGCTTACTCTGAACAGAATCCCAAAACAGTGGCAGAAAATAGGAGAGGTGTTACACAGACACGTTGAGAGTTCACTCTTAAAGTCTACGGTGTGACTCTATACCAACCCCCTCTGCTTTCTAAAACTGATCTGGCAGCAATGAACAATTTGAGGTTTTAAAATCTAGAATAACTGCCAAGCAGAGGGTTGAAGAGTGTTCGGGTGTCTGTTCCACATGTGACTTTAGTGCAGGGCTCCTCCCTCTGAAAGCAGAAAGGTTAGTACAGAGAGAAAAGGTTTATCATTCTCTTTAACTGGCTCTTCTTAGGACATGAGAGCAACAATTGTTTTCCCAGACTGGGGAGATGGCTTGGTGAGGTTAAAAAAGAAATGTTTCCCGTACAAGCATGGGACTGGAACAAAGATTATTTCACCAAATTAGATTTTAGTGAACTAAAGAAAACGGAAGTTTGTGAGAAAAAGAACGGCATGCCCTGGCGCTTACCTCAGCAGGTCTCCACGGTGCAAACCACTTTGCTATAGTGTGCTGTACACAACCAAGTTAGAGGACATCTCACATGGAGCCCTCTTCTGGGCAATCCGAAGATTCTAATTAAGCTTTTACGGGGTGCAGGCACGTAAGAAGCCCAAATGCTGTCAATCGCCATTCATCTTTGTCTTCTCTGTCAGCCAACATTTTCCCATGGCCATGTAATATGTCTCCATCACCCAGAAATCGCGTGTGATTAGCATGGGATAATTTGTCTGCTGAGCAGAGGATTGTCACACCCTTTGTGATAAAATGCCAGATGCAGGAAGCTCTATTTTCCTGTCCTAGTCCAAAGAAGGGGACTCAGCAGTCAAAATTCAGCATGTGACCTGCCTCCTGACCACACAAGCTAGAGCGGTCCAATCATATTCTTTCAGAGCGACAAGGAACGGGAATGAGGAGACCTGGGATGATCAGCAAGAAGGGACACAGCCACTGAGAAGCTGCTTTTGTTAAGAAACGATGGCCTCTCACTGAGGTCCACGTGCAGCTAAAAGGGGGGGAGGGAGCCTGGAACATTTGCTTCAATTTGCTTCTGCCTCCTTCCTCTGGCCACCAACATCCCTCCACAAGTGGGCATGGCGACCACTCAAGGAGCCCCTGTGAAGACAATGGAGTCAGCTAGCCTGTTTTGTTCTGCTTCAAGGCTGAAGGGATGAAGAATCACAGATGAAAGGGAGGCTGACAAAAATCCTTCTCCTAGGTGCCCATACACCCAGTTAAAATGAGAAAATTTTATTAATTAATATATGAAGAAAAGAGATTGGATGTCGGGGGACAGTCAGCGGTCACCATCATCTATACCTATATTGGGTTTTGTCCAGCTGAGACACGTAGAAAGTTCTTTTGATTACTCAGTCTGAGCCACATGGTCTCAGTGGGAGCTGAGAATTCATGGACCCGATAAAATAGGGACATTAGTCATCAACGTTAGCTCACATCAAAAGCCAGACTACACTTCTTTAATTCTTCCAAACCTTATGATCAAATCTATCCTTGCACCAGAACTAAATAAATACAAGGTTAGAACTAAACACCTACGGGAGCATTGATGTATACAAGATGCTGACTCCTGTTGCTCTGACTCTGTGTGGTATTAATTTATGGTAAATGAATATAACTATTTAAATACAATTGTGCATATGCAAAGTATTTTCACCAGGCAAGAGTATTTTCTTGAGAAAAATTCAATATGTAAATTTCATACTACAATCAACTTTATAACATAGTCTTTTTTACTTTTTCTACTCTATTAAAGTGTTTTTTCAAGAATCAGTTGCAGTTTCCTTCATACAAATTTTACACTGAAGTTATAATTTAGCATTATTCTTTCATTGCAAAACACATTGTAGCCATATGTGTCTCTGACAATAGGCATTCACATTTGAGTTTTAAGAAAATAGCATGGCTTTCATTTCTGCTTGAACTTTTTAAACTACATTTTGTCAGTATTAGATTTTAAAATCAATTTTCAATAAATGATCAGTTCACCATGTCTGTTGTTGTACTTTTCCCAATTTTCAATGGTTTTGGTAAGCAGTTTTTCCCCAGTAGGTTGTCATTCTATAAAAAAAAATATGGCTAGTTTTGACTAGTGTGAAATTTCATTTTTGTACTATTTCTATAAAATCCAATCTCTGCTTCCTCATTGGCCTATCATAATAGCCTCGATTACAACAGTCCAGGCAAATATTCTGTTATGCTTGGTGTGTACAAGTAAAACCAATTTTAGAAATATCTGGTTCAAGTCTCTCACTTTATAAGTGAGATTTATGAGTGAGGTGCAGAAAAGTCACCCGACTAGTTCTCAAAACTCGAGCAAGGGCAAGGGTTAATAAGAAAAGAGGTGCTGAACATATGTGACCAATATCAATTGACTGTGGCCGAGAATTGGGATGATTTGGGGTCCCAGGCTTGGGTGACCAGCAAGACATTAATGACATTAACTAAGAACACATGAGTTGGGGTAGAAGATACATTTTCAAGTCAACTTTTCAAATGCCAACTGATCATCTAAGTGGGACAGGTGGGTTTTCTGCTGTTTTGTTTTTTAGAGACGGGGTTTCTCTGTGTAACTGCCCTGGCTGTCCTGGAACTCACTCTGTAGACCAGGCTGGTCTCAAACTCACAGAGATCCATCTGCCTCTGCCTAGCGAGTACTAGGATTAAAGGCATGCACCACTACTGCGTGGCCAGGTATATTTTTAATAGAAACATTTCAAAGGATTTGGGTGGAATGACAGATCTGAGAGTAGCCAGCTTCCTGTCATCACACTAGGACAATAAACACCTAGGAGGGTTCCTAGCACCAACATCTGGCAGCTCACAATGGCTCTGGGGGATCCAATGCCTGTGGTTCCATGGACACCTTGACTCATAGGCATCTGTCCACACATAGATATACACACACAAACACATATTTTTAAAGATAATTTTAAAATCCTTTAAAAAAGATTTGGGAAAGTTGTGTAGACAGATATTTTTATATTTGTTTCTTTTTAAGATTGGTAGGATCTTGCACCATGGGCCAGCGTTTTGGCAGGCAAAATGAACTAAAGCTGGGTAGGGACGGAGAGCCCCTTACCCTCACAGCTTCTTCCACACGCTTCCTCCCTTAGAATTAGAAACCTGCTGAAGACTTGGGGGTAGTAGCATAAGAAGACCCAAGAGGGAACAAGTTAAGAAATGGGGAAGATGGGGGAAGGTTCAAGACATACTGAGTGGAAAAGGCCAGAGAAACGAGAAAACCCAAATTCTAGGTTTGGGTAATCAAATAACCAGAAAGTCTGCTTATCTAAAATTTATCAGTTCCTTTTGATAATTTCATTTTTTTAAATCTAAGATGCTTACCTAATTCCTCCCCATCTGCCACACCAACTTCCAAATTATCACTGACTTATATCTATTTTCCTCAAACCCTTCTTTCTGAGTCCTTCATTTCCAGCACACACTCAGCAGCCGGTCCTGTCGCTCACTCTTCAGGTGACAGAATCCATGCTCCTTACAAGGGCCCAGAAGGCACTCCAGGATCAGTCCCTCAAGCCTTAATGATCTCCCCTTGTGTTCTTTCCCAACCTACTTCCTCAAGGGTGTCGCAGGCGCCTGTGCCAGGTGCTTTGGATCCTTCTGCTGCTTTTCTCTCAGGTCTTTAAAATTTTCCTCTCCCCAGTTAAATGAGTCTCTTCAGAGAATAATGGGCTGTATTAACGTGGCTCTGACTGCTTTCCGTTTCTCGGAGTCTTACTGCCGTAGGTTTGCCTCTAAGAGCACACTGAGTGAGTGAGTAATCTCCACATGGGCAGGCACAACAGATCCACCTCTGTAGTTGCGAACACAGTGTCTGCCTGGCATATAGTGCGACCTTATTTAAGACCTGCCTGGCGCACAGTTGGACCAAATTTGAGACATTGTGGTGGGATGAATATGTAAACCGCAATCACAGGCAGCAGAAGCGTGGACTAAAGAATAAAGTGCACTCCTTTACCCACAGCACTCAGGAGGCAGAGGCAAGCGGATATCTGAGTTCGAGGCCAGCCTGGTCTACATAGTGAGCTCCAAGTCACCCAGAGCTACATAGAGAGACCCTGTCTCAGAAGCAGAAAGTATACATTTGCAGTTCAGTGAGGCGTGCGTGCTTTTACCAATCACAAACCCTGGGGACCGAGGCTGCGCGCGGCGTTCTGCGCCTGCGCGAGGGACCGACCCTCAGGAAGAACCGCGGCCGCCCGGGGCGCGCGTTGATGACGCCATCGGTGTTTGCCCGGTAGCCCGTAGTAACCCGGAGTCTGCGGAAGTGCCGTTGCAGCGCCAGCGGCTGAGACAGGTAACCCGCGGCTCGGCTGTCAGTCAGCTGCTCCGGGGCACGCGGACCCCTGGGGTGAGCAGGGGTGAACCCTGGGATTACTCCGTTCGGGCGGCCGTAGGACGAGCCCGTGGGACGAGCCCGTGGGATGCTGTCACGTAGACTATAGCCGCGTCCGTAGCGCTCCGCGCTTTTCAAGCACTGGTGACAGTTGATTGCAAAGGTGGCGCTCAGGGCAGACGGTAACCACGCTGGCCAGCGGTGCTTGGGGCTGTTTCCAAGGGCGACAGCCGGGTTCTTGTTGACGCTGAATTCAGTTCTGACCCCTCGTGCTTTTGTTTGGTGTCCACGTGCAATGAGTGCATTTATTTCTGGAGCGTATGCCGTGCTTCGTGTTATTCTGCCAGTGCTGCCAGTGCTTCAGTAGTTGGTAAAGATTAGGTTGTCCAGTATGGGGGGGGGGGGACTACAGAGTGGAATGTTATTTACTGTTAACCGTCTTTTAGCAGGAACTATGCCCAACACTTGACATTTCATTGTCTCCTTAGTTCATGCATAGTGTCGTGAGTTATGAATTATTATGTCTGCTTTACAGAGAAAATAGCTGGAGCTTAGTTCCATGAAATTGGGTGAAAATTACCAGTAACTAAAAAAGCAAAGTTAATATTTAAATTCAAGGGTATAGTATGACTTCAAAGCCTATATTCATCCATCCATCCTTTCTTTCTTCCTTCCTCCTCCATTTCCTTTTTTCTTTCTTTCCTTCCTTCCTTTCTGTTTTTATGTTTGTTTGTTTTTAAATAGCCACCATTAGTGGTCAAATACCAGGCTTTTTTTTTTTTACAGTAGTCATATGTGATCCCATGAGTTTGCTCACTCATCTTCCATGCGTGTGTGAGAGAGAGTAGGGGTGTGTGTGTAAGGACAAGATGATAACCTCAACTGTGGTTTTTTTAGATGCTGATCACCATTGGTTTTTTGTGGTTTTGGGGGGGACAGGTTTTCTCACTAGCTTGGAGCTTGCCATGTAGATTAGGCTGGCCATCACCCCAGGATGTGCCTGTTCTCACCTCCCCAGCACTGGAGTTGCAGACCTGGGTGCAACTATTTTACTCGGGTTCTGGGGATTAAATTTGGGTCCTTGTGCTTGCACAGCAGGTGGGTTTTCTACTGAGCGGCAGCTCCAGACTGTTTGGGTATTTATAGATATACTGTAAATTTTCATATTCTTAGAGTTAAAACATCCAGAAAACATGTCTTCCTTCTACGTGTACACACACACACACACACACACACACACACACACACCATCTATCTTTGAGGATTACATAAATGGCAAATGATGTTTCTTTATATTCAGAGCTCCAAGAGATGTGTACATTTTTTGTAATGAAAATGTCGGTAAATAATTTAAAGGCATTAAGTGGTTGTCTTGCCTTCTTTCTTTGTGCAGTCAGAAACATCATTTGTTCTGTGTTGAAATGTGGCAATTCCTTCAGGGCCTCTGCTGCGTCTGACTCTCCGGTTGCCTTGCGTTTGCGTTTGCTGAGCGTTCTGTGGCTCATTGTCCACTGTCACCAGTGGACAGTAAGGTGAAGTGAACAAACTGTAGGTGGTGGAAGCAGACATCTAGATTTTTACACCCTGGCTCTATTGCTTAGTAGGCAACTCGGGGACCCCAGGCAAGGTTCCCAACCTCCTACACCCCAGTCTCCTCAGTTGTCAGAGGGGACAATAGTGTTACTTAGAGGGGTGCCAGATTGGCTGCAAGGAGCAGCCATGTGCTTCCTGATGTTGTAAGCATAGGCAGGAGCAAGGAGCAGCCGTGTGCTTCCTGATGTTGTAAGGATAGGCAGGAGCAAGGGTGGCCCTGGCTTTCATCTTTGAAAATGACACTAGTTCCTTGTAAACTGTTGTTCCTGGATTAATATTTAATCTGTGTGTGATTGCTACCAGATAACTGGTTGCCTGCTATTGTAGATGTCTCGTTAAATTTCCCTTCATTGTGTCTTTATTGTACAATAAAAATTTTGCTTGAGATTTGAAATATTTCACTTTTTAAAAGTTTATTTATTGCAGTTATGTATTTCTCTCTGAGTGTGCATAATGTGTGCGCTGCTGCGTGTGTTGTCGTCTGAGTTGTCTCCTTCCGCCATGTGGGCTCGAAGGATTGAGTTCACATCACAGATTGGGGGCTCGCCCCTTTACCCGATGAGTTATATTGTACTTTTGTGTGTCACAGTAACGGACTTTGCATTTCTGCTTTGACTTTTGAGGTTACTTCAGGGTTGTCTGGTAAACGGAAACCCTGCAGAAGTCCATGAATGTACCCATTATGGGCATGTAAGGATTAATTTTGCCTTCAAAACTGCTGTTACATACCCATGTTCACATAGTCCTTCAGAGTATTTCTTTTTCTCCTTTCAAGGGACTAAAAATTGCTTTAACACAGAAAATAAAGCCAGACGTGGTGACAAACACTTGTCACCTGCTAGTGTGAATTGCTAGTTTGAAGTTGCTTTGGGGTACGTGGCAAGATTCTGTTTAAAATAAAAATAGCATAATTCCATTGGGGAATATTATTTTAAGCTGTGTTGTTTTTGTTTATGTTGCATTTGTTTAACTATGTGAAGCTGTGGTTCTTTGCCTGTCTAAAACACCTGATGGTCTAATAAAGAGCTGAATGGCCAATAGCAAGGCAGGAGCAAGGACAGGCAGTCAGAGAGAATAAATAGGAGACATCTGGGAAGAGAAGAGCAAGACAACAAAAGGAGGACATGAGGGGCCAGCCACCCAGCTCTGCAGCCACCCAGCTCCGCAGCCACCCAGCCACGCAGCCAGCCACGGAGAAAGAAGAAATAGAGAATAATAAAAACCCTGAGGCAAAAGGTAGTCACAAGAATTTAAATTAAGAAAAGCTGACTAGATACAAGCCAAGCTAAGGCTGGGCATTTATAATTAAGAATAAGCTCCGTGTGTGATTTATCTGGGAGCGGGGTGGTGGGCCCCCAAAAGAGTAAAGAGTTAAACATCCCACAACATAATCTCATTTCTGAAAATTTTAAGCTGTGCTCCCGGCCCCCATCTGTTGGGTGTTTTAGACCATGGCCAGCTACAAGCCGATGTTTATTCCTACAGTGCCCTACTTAGAAGCTTGAAAATGAGTTAAGACCCATGCTGATGATACAGCTTTCTTTGAAGATGTGTTCTGTGGGTTTTGAAAAGGTTATTTTTATTTTGTGTATGTTCCTAGATGATACACAGGACAAAAATTACCATTTTATGCAGCGCACAACGCCTGTCTGTGCTCTATGCGCTACCATACAGTTCCCGAGCTTCAGGCAAGGGGCTGGAGGTTGAAACATACAAAGACACACAGGCAGAGACAGGGACACGGACCTCTAGGTCACTGGTAAGAAGTCCCCTATTCAAAAGCACCACGGAGGCTTATAAAAACCCAACAGTCAGGTGGGCCAACAGGTGAAAACCTCACCCTCTGATTTTCAAGGCAAGGCAACACGTGCTTGTGAAGCAGAGCTGGTAAACAACTTTGACACAGCTTTCAGTAACTCAAATCAGAAGGAAAGTAAAGGTCACTATCAGGGAAAAGCAGCTGGAGGCCAGGACTCCAAATGGTCCCAACAATTTTAAGTTCTTTAAGTGCACAATTGGGTGGTATCAAGTACATTCACAAAGCTATGTGGTCACTGAAATGCATTTCCAAAACTTTTCATTATCACCTCCCAAAGAAATGCTGCACCCATTAAATAATTGCTTCCCATCTCCCTCACCCCGGACTGCAGATGTCCTCTGATCCTGCTCCACTGTGTTTGCCAGCTCCAGAGATCTCATGTTGATGGAATCCTGCCACATCTGCCCACTCGTGACTGGGAGAGTTCACGCAGAGTGTTCCCAGAACTTATTCATGCTGCACCATGTGTCAGAGCCACATCCCCTTTTGGGGTGGATTGAATCTTGCATGAACTCAGTCCTGGGTGATGGATTGTGAGCCTGCAGATAGTGTGGCTCCAGTGTTTGTGCTGTGAACACAGTACCTGGTGGGCATTGATAAGCTGGAGTCGGAGCACAGACTGTAGTGTGACATGGAGCCTAAAAATAGTAAAGGAAATAGGATGGCGATATAGGTTATACAGCATTCACAGCACCACACATGGCCTAGGCGTTTTGCCCATAAAGTGAGAATTTGTTTTAGTTCCTGTTATATGCGTGAAGAAGCTGTAGCATAGGCAAACTGGATGGATTGTTGGAGTTACAAAGTTGTTTGGTTGGTGACGTTGGGATCTAAACTTGGGCTGTCTGGCTCTGAAGCTCATTTATCCCTAGGCTTAGTCAGTACTAACTTTGTAGTGAACTTGGCTAACAGTTTGCTGTGCTCCTTGCCCACCTTTTCCTTTTCACTATCTTAAAACTGGACACAACTGGGCTCACTGGGCAGTGAAAGAAGAAACCAGCGTCTGGTTTGCATGGAACAGTCACATCCACAGGGAATTGAGACCACATCTCCACAACTGAGTTCTTGTCCTTTTAGAGCCTTGTCTTTGAACACTGTGTGGTTCCCACACTCAGGGCCTGTGGCAGGGAACTTTTTGTCCTTAGCCTCAGTGACTGTCCGAATGGATTCTGACACATTCATTTCACTGCTGATTTGTTAGTCTGTGATGCTTGCTTCCTGGAGAAGTTGTTGTGAAGTAGCATTTCTGTATTTTCAGTTCCATTGTAATGTCTCCTGACTTTTCGTTTGCTTACACTTTAACATTTGCAATTGAAGGTCTAATTTTGGAAAGCAATGGGAATCAAGATGTACTTGCTCTGTTTTGGCATAGAAGGCAAATCCACCAGTGCTTCTTGTTACCAATAATATCAAGCATATGTCATTGTATATTGTACATTTGGAGGTCTGAGCTGTCTGTTATGTGTAGTAGGTAGAGATTCTATTATCCTTTGTTGAACATTTGAGAATCTCAAGATGCTCAGTCTTCTGGCTATATTTATACTGGCTATATTTGTAGATTTAGAAGAATCCATTCTGCAAAGAAAGAATTCCAGCATGCTGT